GATTGAATCTGGGCCGATCTGATGATCACGAATGTCCGGTAGTGTTTGAATTTTATTTATTTTTCTACGAATTCAAATTACTTGAAATTTTAGGTATGTTTTCTTCTCATCAAGGCCCACCTAATAAAAAAAAAAATCTTTATAAAAAATAAAATGACCAAAATACCCCTAAAACTTTTCGGGGGTATTTTGGTAATTTTATTTCATGTAAAATATTTTTTTGATATTTTTGATGATTCACCTATTTTTTATGAACAGACACCTAAAATATCAAGTGGTTTGGATTTGTAAAAAAAAAAAAACTTAAATTCAAACACTACCGGACATTCGTGTTCTTCAGATCGTCCCATATTCAATCTGGGACGTTGAGCGTATATGTTCATATGAGCTAGTGGGTTAATACCATTTTTTTTTCTATATATATATATATATATATATAGTGAGACGCACCTAATAAAAATATAAACAAAATAATTTTCAAAATATAAATTGATCAAAATACCCCCATAAATTTACATAGTCGATGAGGCTATGTAAATTTGATAGATTCATGGAAAATATATCTAGCGGTTGAAATGCTAATCCTATGTAGTAAATTACACAGTCGATGAGGCCGTTTTAAAACATGGAGTCAAGCAGTATATCTGCACTCCATTATATTGATCTGGATCGGGTGATCATCATCATCGTCATCGTCAACGTCTTTTTCCTACTAATTGGGATCGTTTAAACGAATCATGGTCCGCAATTCCGTTCTATTAAAGGCCATATCATTAGTGAGGCCATAAGTCCCTATATAATTCTTCACTGTATTGATATGGATCAAGCGATAAGATATTTTAAAATGAAAAATATAAAAGGAAATAAAGCTAGGATAGAATGGCCCAGTTCTCTGATCTGGATCATCGATTCTATTCAGAATCACCCGGATCTTTGACAAAACTGTGTTTCCTACCAGTTTAGATGAACCGGGTCAATTCCTACTTAATCTTATCAAGATCAGCGATTGATGATTCAGATTAGCCCTACTTAATCTTATGAAGATCAGTGATTCATGATTGGGATTTAAAACTTTAGATGACGGTGCCAACTATTTGAAGATACGACTCTTTGAAAATTCTCTAGGAAACCATTTTTTTGGAAATATGAGAACCTTCACGTGCAAGGTCCATCCTACGGTATGTCGGGTCATGGACATACATGACTCCTTGGAAGATGTTATGTCAAGTGCCATGTAATGTGAAATTTAACACATGAGGTAAAGCTGTAATCTAGTAAAATGATGATGTTTATCTTGAACTTTTGCAAGTGACATATGATTTAACCTACCCAATCAAAAAAACTACACGAATAAAGAAGGGAAATGTTTATATAAAGTTTTATAAGTAAGCTTTACATAAAAAATCCACTTGAAAGGTTGTTTGAGATATATGAATACAAAAAAAAAGAAAAGAAAAAAAAAGAGGATATCTAGTCTTAAAAATAAGGAAAGATTTATATAGAGCCGAGGCTCTAAATAATCAAATTAGAACGCATTTTAAAAATTTTACTAGAAGAGGTTGTTTTGATGCCGAAATACCCTCAAAATGATCATCTCGACATCAAGATGCATGTATATGAGAAAAAAATAGATTTTAAGTTGGAAATAGTGCATCTTGTAAGGCATTTTTTTATTGTCAATTTTCAAGTTTTCATAGATCTGCTTGATCTACACTATTTTTGAAGCTTCAAATTTTATAATTAAAGATGAAAATATATTTAGGATTATCACAAAGATTTTCAATATTGAAACTATATTTCTCGATGCTATTTGAAGTTGCGCTTCACTTTGATTGTCACCCTAAAAATAATCCATCTTGTAATGCTTATCTAGACTGTTCATTTTCATAAATTTAAGTATTTATAGTTGCTCGATCTACATAATTTTTCAAGCTTTAAATTGCCCCTCCAATACTTTTTAAATCACATCACCAACCCCAACACTAATATTTTGGCATCCACCGTCCAAATAAAAAAAGTAACTTTTTTTTTACTAAAATTCCCTATTGAAATACTTTTTTTTTTTTCCATGCTGATGCCTGTCCAGCATAAAGGTTAATGAAGCCGGTTCAGCACAATGCGTGCTAGACCAGATTGTGAAGTTCAGTCCGATTTTAAGAGGGACCAGGAATCGGTGTGCCCCACATTGTGCCGGATTGGTTTCATTGTTATAATGAAGTCAATTCAACACACATTGTGCTGTACTGGTTTTAGTAGGGACCGAAACATAAAAAAAAAAAATTGTATATTTAGAGATAGGTATTTCCTTAAAAGAAACAACCTTCTTACTCAAGGGGGTAAACGTAAAAGAAAAAAATTAATTTTGAGGTTGGTGGTATAAAGAATTTTAGAGAGTAGGGGAAAGCGAAAGCTAGGTCAAAAGGGTCGTTTTCCCTTTGTTTTAATTTTTTTGTATTATGAGTCACGGGTATTGAAACAAAACCACTTTATTTTCTTCCTTAAAATATTATGTTTTTCGGCATTTTAATATTATCGTCTTGTGTATTATTTCTTTGTAAAAAGCTACATATTTAAAATATTTATGTATTTAAATATAATTAAATATATATTTATATATTTAATTATATTTAAGATATTTATGTATTTAACTATATTTAAATATATATCATATATTAGAACCCAAAAAATATTATCGGATTTAAATCAAGACCCAAATAGTGTTCAAGTCCAAGATTTGAGCCCTAACTCGACTCAAGTCCAATGTTTAGATCTGGGCCCTAACCTAGACTTACATCGCCATGCAATGATGCCCATAGCGTCCGCATGGGTTTGAGAAACATCTACAAGTGGATCACATTTGGATTCATGCAAACGTATTGGATTCATCACCTGTGCAAGTATGTGGAACGTGTCGTTTTAAACGTTGAAGGAAAATCCGGGCGGTCTAACCGGTGACAGCTCATTGGTGGTTGATTTTGATTTCGGTCCGTTTTGGTGATCGACAGGATATTTTAAAAAATATGGGATTTTGTTTGTAATGTACATGATAAATATTGAAAATTGTTTTGGCCATTAATATTTATTTTTATATTTTTTTAAAAAAAAATATTTAAAAAATACCTATCAGCACAAATCAATTTTTTAAAATCATTTTTTTTCATTAATTTTCAATTTCATTTGGATGTGCTTTGTTTAATCATTCTTTAAAAATATTTTTACGTTTTTTAGTTTTTTATTTTTATTTTATTTTTTATGTTTTTAATATTTTTTTGACCGCCCGGGACTTACCCTGTTAGAACAGTTGAACCGCTTCCAAGCCCATATCCGATTAACTATTCTGCTTCAATTTTTTCTAATTTTAAATGAACGGACCATAATTGGAATCAACCCTCATTACACACACTCACATCAAAACACTTATTAAGCAAAAAAATTGTCTTTACCCCCTAATAAAAATATGGAACAAGACTATAAAAGTTGCACTCTTAGGAAGGTGGCAAAGTTACCTGATTTTATTAATGTACAATATCTATCTTATTTGGATAGTGTAAAATTAATACTATTTTAAAGGAAGTGCTACTTTTTTTCCACCATTTTATAGGACTCCGTCAAATATTACACCATTTAACTAACATGAAATTATAAAAAATCGTAACCTTACTTCTATAAATAAGGTCGGACCCTTTTAGATGTATGCAATTAGAGATCATATATATCTCTCCACCCCCTCCACACACACATATATATATTTCAAGTTTATCTAATATTTTTTTATGTCCTTCTAAACCTTCATCCGGTAAACTTTTACTTTGATTTTGATTTTGATTTTATTTTTACTATTTTTAAATCGATGACTGTCCTTTAGATCATTGATCCAATGTTCTGATATGGATTTGTGGGTGAAGTGCCACCGATCCAGGTTTTAAAACATTCCTTTATACATATAAAAGAGATTTTTTTGAAAAATTTTAATTACTCGTGGGCGTTTGACGGGATTAGATTACAGAGGTTTAAAAATTGGAATGGTAATTGGTGTCTAGGGGGCGCACTTGTACAACAGCATCTGCTGACGCACTCAACATCCATCTTGTAGAATGTTGTCAACCGATCGTTGCCCTTAACAGGATCAAAATTAAAGCGGTTAAAATTATATGAAAAATCTCACTTTTACTTTTTTTTTTTTTTAAATCTGAACTTTTTTTTGGAGTCGTACTCATTATAGTTTAGATTTTTAATTTTTAAAATTTTAGATACAAAATCCATCTTTAAAATAGATTTTGGAGAGATAACTCATTTAAATAAGTGAGGCTACACATTCATCAAAAAAAAAAAAAAAAAAAGAAAAAAGAAAAAAGAAAAAAATCTAACCATCAATGGAGTAGTAGCACTCTTTTAGAGTGGGATGGTTTGCATGAGGTTGCAACGTTAAACAGTCAAACTAATACACAGATTCAAATTTTATGAGGATAATATATTGTGAGATCATTTACTTTTTGTACAAGAAACTCACTATCTTTTTTTTAGCCATTGGATATGAAATCTAATGGTTTGAGTGACTCCTAACATTCATGAAATTTTATTTTAGACTATGTTCCTAATCAATGATACATCCTCAACCGTTCGATTTCATATTTAAATGTCAATAATGAATGTGGCTTTTTTGTATCAATAGTGAAATGGACTCATTGTATATATTACTAAATTTGATTAGAAGATATAATTTTGACGTAAAAAATTCCTAAGATGCCAAGTAATAAAATTTTAAACTCTAATAATAATTCACATTTATAAACACAAAAATTTCAAAAATAGGCTGCCTTGATAATATGTTTTGTAATATGTATTATTTTTGAGCCCTAAAGTTTTTCTAATTTTTATTTTCATGCATACACATCGAACAACATTTTTTTTGATGGATTTCCGATGATTTTTGAGGTGCACCTTAATTCTACCGTTTATGGTTGAAACCCTAAATAAACTCTCCCCTTAAATCCTCATTCGCGAAATAAAGGTCACTCACCTGCGGTGTGCATGGGTTATAAGAAAGCTAGGGACAGGAAGCAGCACTCACTGCAAAAATGAGCAATTGCCAGATGCAACGCTAATATCTCAAAGCAATGGCGACTTTGGTGAAGTGTTGCCAACATTTACCCCCTCTTCTCTCTCCTAATTCTGCATTTTTCTTGCCCTCAATTGGTTGCCGGCCATGGCGGCTTACCAGAACCCAATATGCAAAGAAACCCATCATGGGTTTCTGCAAAAACCTCTCAACTGATGCTGAGAAGGTTCGCTGTGGTGATGGTGAGATACCCAATATTGGGTTCCATTTGTTCAATACCATGAGCAAGCAAAAAGAGGCTTTCAGTCCCAAGACCCCTGGAAAAGTGGGCATGTATGTTTGTGGAGTCACTGCTTATGATTTTAGTCACATTGGCCATGCTCGTGTCTATGTGAGCTTTGATGTCCTTTACAGGTAGGTTCGAGAAATAACTCTCTCTCTCTCTCTCTCTCTCTCTCCATGTGAGCTTTGATGTCCTTTACTCATGAATTATTTGGTGTAATGCTTCTTCTATGTAAGTATTGGCCCTTATATTTCTATATTTCTATAGCTTATGCAAGTAATTAAAAATATGTTCTTTAAGTTTTCAAGATTAATTTTTGATGGGTCATATATTGCTTGTTACTTGTTACAATGGTGTCTATTATTGTGTTAATTGTTTCTTCATTTGGTGTTGTCTGGAAATCAATCAGATATTTGCAACATCTGAAATATGAAGTCAATTATGTGCGTAATTTCACAGATGTTGATGACAAGGTATATCCATTGACTTTGCTTCACCCCCCTTTTTTTTTCCTTTTAATATCAAGTTCCCATGAAGGTTAATGTTAAGAAACATTATTGATTCAACTGTGTAATTAGCAATTCATGTTTGTTTTTATTTTTTTCGTCATTGTTATGGTACATTCACATCTGTTTTGCAACATTATATTGGAAAGCTCTTTGGGATGTAATAAGATATACTTTTGATTGTATGTTCTTGTTCTCTAATGGACTAATGGCAACTTAGTCTTGGTATTCGTGTTTCTTGTACCCAATGATTTGTTGTGTTTCTTCAACTGTTTTTGTGTGAGTTTTGGGAGCTATGTTTTTTACAGAATAGATAATAATCAAGAAGGAGAGTTACATCAAGTCCCTTGTAGCATCCAAAGCAAAAAATCTTTGTAGATTGATTTGGGAGCAAGTTGTAGGTAGATGGAGAAGGAAGAGCTAAGGTTTGAATTTCATTAAACAATAAAAACTAGGAAGCTAAAGTTGGAAGTTGGAAACCCAAGGGGAGATCAAAGGAAAAGGAAGGACAAGGTGAGAAAATGAAGAAAAGGTGGAAGTAGAAAATGAGATTGGATAGATGAGATGGGGTACTTGTCTGAAGTCTTCACTTTTAAGGGCAATGGCACATTGGATAATGGTCTGGATTTGTGGAGATGATGAGTAGTTTGCTTTGCCTAGTTTTTCTTTTAGGAAGATGGTTACCCTTTCTGTTCACCCTGAAGAAGGATTTCGATATACGGCTGGGGACATATCGAGATTACGATTTGAGCTTCACTAAGGAGTAAGGAAAATGGGTTTTGGATTTTAACTCTAAAAATGCAATTGAAACATGTGTTATGGTGGAGCAAGATTTGGGATGCCTCTTTGAATGAATATCTGGGATCATTGATATGAGAGACTTTATGAAGTGAGGGACTTAGTTACGAGAAGAATCTAAGCAGGAGTAAAGGGTATATGAACCATGGAGGCTTGAATTTATACATCAAATGCATGAAGACACTAGGAATGTGGTCTTTGGCTAGCGATAATTATATTTGAGACTAACAGTTGCAAAGGACTTGAGCATGTGTTTGTTAAGATAAACAATTGTAAAATGGCTTCGACCCCAAAAACACATAGCACACCCTTGAAGAAATATGAGGTTTTCTAGTAGCATGTTTGTGTTTATTCTTGTGTGCAATTTTGTTGAGGGTTATATGGATTATGTTTTTTATGGTTATTCTTGAGTCTCCCACGAGGCCTTAGGTAGTCTGGAAAATTTCCCAATAAATATTCGTTCCTTAAATCGTAGTGTATTTGTGCAGAATCAAATTGGTGTTTTGTTCTGTGACTGCAAGTTAATTAAAATGGATAATACAAAAATTTGTGGACATGTTATAGGCTAAGTTTGTATGTGTAAACACATTGTACATATCATTATAGCGCAACGCGAGATGTAGTTTCCACAGGGCCCTGAACATTTAAGAAAATAAAGATAATTAAGCAACTATATGGCTTTATGAGGAGGACCAGTAAGGGGAGGAGTTGGGTTCTTTCAGATTTGTAACATGCATGAGTATGCTTCTTTCCTTGTCCATTATAAATAACTGGTAACTGAAAACATTGGTATGCAACAGTGCCTGGAAAAATACTCTTAATCGATAATGCCAAAAATTTAGAAATATGCACATGGATTAATCTCTTCACTAGTGATTCCTACGCCAAGTGTTACTCTAGCAATGTCATATGATGATATAATTGCACTCACATGAAATTGCCATATTTCTAAAAGAATTTTGATCCAAAACTTGCAATAATGGATCTTATCTGGGTTCCTCAGGTGAACCAGTCATTGTAACTTTCAAGATTTTCATGAACAAGCATGTTCTGGCCTTTCAGTGCAAAAGGAGAGGCTAGGTCAAGACAGGAGTAAGGTCAATACACCTGAATCACTCTTCACATCGAGCAGATTTGTCCTTTAGAACATCTAGGACGAGCCTAAAAAGTGGCAATTTTAACTTCTTGGCCTTGTTTGCAGAGCGGGAGTGCTAATTCTTATCATGAAGTTTCTCTAAAACTGTTGTTTGGGACTTGACATTTTACATTTGTATCATCTTGAATTTCTATTATTGTGTCTTTTGTTATATATAAGTTTTCTTTGTAAACAATCGAAATGTTCTGGGTACATGGTCTATTTCTACTTCCTAGTTTGTGCTATAATTTGCCCTATTTGCTATATTATTGAAACTCTAGTTATTAGGTTTATTTGTGTTTTTGTTCTCACTGTTATCACAATTTCTTCCTTTACGTATGTCTTCTATGACAGGCAACCTGAGATATGGACTTTTGGGCTTCTGTAGATAATAACCAGAGCAAATGAGTTGAGGGAGGACCCTTTAAGTTTAAGCAAACGATTCTGTGAGGAATTCCATGTTGATATGGCTCATCTTCAATGCCTTCCGCCTACTGTTGAGCCCCGTGTATCTGATCACATGAGCCAGATTATTGACATGATTAAGCAGGTAATCATTTACTCTTGATGGTTATTAGTTATGTAGAAATGTAGACTTATTCAAGGCAAATTTTTTGGAATTCATTCTTCTGGAGACTTTCGTCTGTGTAATGATGGGGTAGACTTGTTCCTTAATTGTCAGATAGTTATTGATGAAACCATTATTATATTGTATTGTTTATTTTTTGTTTATATTGATGCCATCATTATGTTGTATCCACCACCATCAAACTCAAACTGTCATCCATAATGACATCTATTGCAGAAATCTGATTCTTGTGAAGAAGAGAGTAGAACTCGCCATTTTCATCTATACAAGTATTAGACATAGCAGCGGGTACAGGTTCACACACACGCACACACACACACAAAACACAGTCACACAGACAAATGTGAACATGCACCATGTGCAAGTGAATACTCCTTTGTGGTACCATAGACTCATTTTATGTTGACTATACTGTGCAACATCATGATGAAGAACCTCATAGTTTTCATAGAACTAAACTCTAGGTGAATGTGATAAGTATATAATACTGCACCATCAAGATAACCTTTGGGCGATCCTGTCTTTTGTTTGCACAGTGGAGTTGGTCATCCTTTACATGAATTCTTAATAGGACCATTTTTTGACAGATTCTTGATAATGGTTGTGCATATACGGTTGATGGAGATGTATACTTCTGTATAGACAAGTTCCCCAATTATGGTCGCTTATCTGGACGGAAAGTGGAAGATAATCGGGCTGGTGAGCGTGTTGCTGTGGATTCAAGGAAAGCAAACCCTGCTGACTTTGCATTGTGGAAGGTGAGTAAAAGTGAAGCATGTTAAAACTTTTTCTTTTCGAGGCTTGGGTATTGATTGCTATTCAATTTAGAAAATGTTCTTAATTGAGAGGGAGGGAGGAGTGGAGGTAGGAAGGTACTACTAATTGGACTTGTGATGGCAGTCTGCAAAGCCTGGGGAGCCGTACTGGGAGAGCCCTTGGGGACCTGGAAGACCAGGGTGGCATATTGAGTGCAGTGCAATGAGTGCTGCTTATCTAGGCCACTCTTTTGATATCCATGGAGGAGGGATGGACCTTGTTTTCCCCCATCATGAGAACGAGATTGCCCAGAGTTGTGCAGCTTGTACAGAGAGTAACATAGGCTACTGGATTCATAATGGGTTTGTTACCGTAGACTCTGAGAAAATGTCCAAGTCCCTGGGGAATTTTTTCACGATTAGGGAGGTAAAGTATTGAATTTGGGTCAGCTTAAGTTTTCTTAGTTTTTCATGGTATCATTTAAATAGAGCTTCTGTTTGCTTAGAAGCTTTTTACAAATTCTGATTGTGTAGGTTATTGACTGGTATCATCCCTTGGCTTTGAGGCTTTTCTTGATGGGCACTCATTATAGGTCTCCCATCAATTACTCAACTGCGCAGCTTGAAAGTTCATCTGACCGTCTCTTTTACATCTATCAGGTATAATAACCCTCCAGCCTATCTCTCTGTCTCTCTATTCATCTATCTATCTAACATGCACATATGAGTTAGTGAGGGAGGGAGGGAGGGAGGGAGGGAGGGAAGGGAGGAAGAGTATGAAATGGCATTGAGGTTCCAGAATGTATGACCTGACTTTATTTCTTGCAGACTCTTTGTGACTGTCAAGATATCTTATCTCAAATCAGTGATGGCAATCTCAAGGAGCGTGTCCCACTTGATGTTGAGAACTGTATAGAGCAATTCCTTAGCGCTTTTAATACCTCCATGTCTGACGACCTCCATACTTCTGTAGTTTTGGCTGCACTCTCGGAGCCTTTGAAAACTATAAATGACCTCTTGTACACGCGCAAAGTATGGTTCCTTCTTTCTTTGAGGATAAGCATTCATTAATAAAAGGGAAATAATTATTATGGTTTCGCTAGATTCACCTACCAAATGAAGAAGAATAAAAAAGTTTGTTGTTTTATGTTGCATGAGTAGTTTGATAGTCTTGGTCTATTCTCACTTATGCAGGGTAAAAAGAAAGCCATCTCGATTCGTGTCTCTTGTGGCATTGGAGAAGGAAGTCAGGGGTGTTCTGGCTGTTCTTGGGTTGGTGCCACTATCAAGTTACTCCAAGGTTTCTCTCTCTCTCTCTCTTGTCTCTCAAAATAGTGGTCGACACTCCTTTTCGGCCATTGCTGCTCTTTCATGAGACATCTATACTTTTACAGTACTATTATTTACAGTAAACCTGCTCTTGGGAAAGTTGAAAATTCTCAGCTCTACTGTAGTTTGGTGAGAGATCTTATGCCCTCCATATTCTCTTAAACGTCCCTTTTTTTTGAAAATTCGTCGCATCCTTGTACTGCCTCTGTTTTCATACTATTCAAAATTATCTTTAAACAATAGTGTTCCTGAGATTTGACCAATGTAGCTCTAATATTCTAAATTACATACAACTCAATTTCATTTTATTATCCCTGGCACTCAAAATCTTATATCTTGCTACAAAATTGTTTCACTAAGTCGACTAGTTACCTCAGTAATTCTAAGGTGTGTGTGGAAGGACAACTAAACAAGAAATTTAGTGTATTTGTAACTTGCTTCTGCAGGAACTCTTCCACAGTATGTTTGTCTCTGTCCCCTTTGTAACTCTGGTTGTGTGAAAAATATCCCCAGATAGCATCTAAACAGGATAAAGGAAAACTTGTTCTAACTTCTTTTCCGAATTGTAATAATACAAATGCACCTTGGGCTTTGGTCCAGACTTGCCCTTAAACCACAAATATGACACTGGGTCAAATGTTATTGGTTATGTGGTGATTCTAGGCTTCAAATTCTTACTTTGTTGGGTTTTTCCGTTTTTTTCGGCTTTCCTTTCCAGTTTCCGTCTTGCAATTGTTTAATTTGAAGCTGGCTGATTGTTTCATGCACATTCCATTTTCCTTTTTCCTTTTTCTTCTGCAGGTATTGATGGAGCTTAGGGAGAAGGCACTGAAGAGGGCAGGGTTGAGTGAAGATCGGGTGTTGGAGAAGATAGAGGAAAGGAGTTTAGCAAGGAAGAACATGGAGTACGAGAGGTCAGATGCAATTAGGAAAGAACTCGCGGTTTTGGGGATCACTTTGATGGACGGTCCAGATGGAACCTCGTGGAGACCTGCGGTACCCCTCGAACTCCGCGAACTTTTCCAGTGACCAGAGGTTTATTTATTCCATTTGTGATATTTAATTTTTGTTATTTTTAATATTTAGAAAATGTGTGCGATCGATATCTAGAGAGTGATCGGCCGCATTTTTGTCATTTCTCTAAGTCTCATTTTTAGGTCTCTAGATAATGTTTTATTTATTTATCAGTACACCAGTGAACATATTGCAGGTCTGGTAAATTGAGAAAAACAATCTCTCTTATGCTGCAATAGCACCATGCCGTGGATTTGGCAAGCGTAGGAGTGTGAATAATTAATTTAACTAGTAAATCTTGCCGAAATTGTCACAAATTTCAGAAATCAAATTCTCACGTTTTGACTTAAAAAGAGTTCAACTGAGAAATTTGGCATTGAGTAACATAGATGTTCACATTTAGCAAATGTAGATGTGTCCAAGTAATCCACCAAATACTGTTTTATCTGATGCACAGATGCACTTTGATACAGTGATGTCTAATATCATATCAAACTTAGCAGAGGATTACTAGATCTTGAGAGTGTCTATAGCCCTTTTCTTTTTGGTCCAACAATCCAAAAACACATTAAAATAGTCGTTGATTAGTATCTTCTGGTAAACTGCTGGGCTTTCTTTCTTGCCTGCCAATTCCTCAGCAGGACCCAATTCTTTGTTGGGTGCCATGGAATAGAACATAGCCATTGTCATCCTGGGCTTCTCCTTATTTACAATGACCCGATGCACCGCACTCCTAATAATCCCGTTGCTCATCACCTGTGCCAATGGTAAACAACTGCAGTAAATGGAAAATGCTTCAAGGAAACTTATTTTGGCCAATAGAGGATCAACTATGTTTAGGGCTGGCAATGGGCGGCGTGGCCCGGCCTTAATAATATCGGGCCTGGGTAACAAACTGTGGCCCGAGGGCTTGGCTAGGGCTAGTGCCCACCCTCCGTCTTGTTCTTGTTTTTTCTTTTATTTTATTATTCACGATTGGCAGAGCATGTTTTTTTTTTTTCTGAAGTAGATTAGGGAGAGAAGTTCTCAATTTTCAAGCAAGCATGAGATCCTTATGAATAAGTGATGAACCAAATAACGCCTAAACTAGGTAGAGAACAGGGAAGAGCAAACAGGGGAGAGAAAAAGAGATACTCATGAATAAGTCTATAGCCTGACTACCACTCTTCTCTATTAATGAATGAGTCAATTTGAGAGCAGTAGTGTGGCCAAAATGAGTTACTAATAAATAACACAACAAAACTAATAATATAATAAACAACACAATAACTTGAGTATTTTGGCTTCATGACCATGGATGCTAGGGCTACAACCTAAAGATTTGGTTTAGGATTTTACATAAGAGATTGTCTAACCATTTATCTTTTGTATATGGAGGTATAATCATTTTCATTCAATATATGTCAAATTGGATGGTTTGGTGTGAGTTACGAAGTTGGATGGTTTGGAGTGAGTCACGAAGTCCGAGATTTTTTATTTTTTTTGGAACTTTGTGTCTATTTAGCGTTGGTTTTACAATCACTTATTTTGAAATTTAAGGGATAAGAATGATTGTGACTTATGTGTACAAAAGATATATAGTTTTTTTGTATACAATCTTTTTACATAAGGAAAATTGTTTTATGCAGGTTGGACTGTATTTCTACACTATGCGGTCCAGAAGTATCAAGTATTCATCTTAAAAATAGATGCAAATAGGTGGTCCATCTAAAAACAATTGTAACTAACGGTTCAAATATTTTCTTAATATAATTATTATTTTTAGTTTCTATTTCTTTTTTTTTTCATATTCATGATTTCTATGTTAAAAATAATATATTCTCTAAAAATTAGGATCAAACTATTTTTTTAAAAAATATATTTATTGCCAAGCCTGAATTTCTACAATATACAGGCTAGCAGCATAGAAACCGTGTCTTTTACATAAAGATAAGAAAGAGTATGCATTTTTACCTTTGGTACAAAAATATCGCAATTATTCTTAACTGTTAGATGTGAAATTATATGACTAAGTGCGTGTCCAGTATGAAAAATGTTTTTTCAAAATTTGTGATATAATCATAAGCCTCGGATTTCACATCTAACAGTTAGGGGTGATACGTGAACGTGATCATGCAAAGATAAATAGTCTTATAATTTATTTATTCTTCTAAACACTAATTTGAGATTGGGTGAGAACATAACTCTCTGGACATCATGTTGTGGTAAATGCGACCCCTTTGGGCTAGTTCTCTAAAGACAATCATATACACTTTACCTATTTTGGCAGCATTGTTTCTTTGCTATTTATGGCATGTTTGTTGGAACAAGCCTCGCTCCATAACAAGTCATGAATCATGACCATCCAATGAAATGATGGACGGTAGTGGAAAGAGAGAGTGAATCTGCCATTTGAGTTTAGGTGGGCCTCACTCTCTCTTATCGGTTATCACCTGTGTACTATTTCATTGGAAAGTGATAATGCATATATTTTAGTATCACCGTAGTTTGTGAAGTTATGGTACTCTCCTCATCATCATCAGTGTATTTTCTCAACTATTTGGAATCGGCTATATGCAATTATTGTATGATTTCAAATAATATATAACATTAATGTTTCCGTACCTCAAGCTGATCTCCAATGTTAATGAGGAGAGCATAAGGAAGGGTTTTTATCTGATGCCATGTCCCATCTCTGAGGACCTGGATGCCTTGGACATGGGGGTCTTGAATGAGGACTGTGATCCCACTATTGTCTGAGTGGGACCTCTGTCCTAGGGTTTGGCCTGGTTTTGAGCATGGAGGATAGTAATTGAAGCGTGCATATAATGTTGCATCATCATCAAAGTGATCATTGAAATACTTGTCTTTTAACCCTGCCATCTCTCCCAATAGAGTAAGTGTCTTGTCCGCAAACTCTTTCATTTTCAATGACAATTCATCCAAGACTTCCCTGTAAACACATAGATAATTATGTCCATTGTTTATAGGGTGTAGTTTGTATAAAGCTGAGGCTCTAAACGATCAAACAATCAAAGTAAAGTGCATCTTCAAATAATATCGAGAAATGTGGTTTCAATACTGGAAATCTTTGTGATAGCCTCAAAATATATTTTTATCTATTTATAAAATTTAAAGCTTAAAAAATAGTGTAGATCAAGTAGATCTATAAAAACTCGAAAAATCTTAAAACTAACGGTCAAAAAATGCATTACAAGATGCATTATTTCCAAAACTTGAAATCCATTTTTTTTCTCATGTCCATGCTTCTTGAGGTCGAGATGATCAATTTGAGGATTTTTTAACATCAAAACAACCTCTTCTAGTGAAATTTTTGAAGCGCACCCTAATTTGATTGTTTAGAGCCTCGTACTAAGGGAAACTTTTTCTTGTTTATATCTGAATAAAAAAGGTAATATTTGGTGGTCCTGCAGGATATTTAGTCCAACAAACACTGGTAGTCTCCATGTCATCTTTATTGGTCTTTGATAGGCCTGGCTTGCCCTGGCCCTGGGCTGACCCTTGTCCCCATAGAACTGGCCCAGGCCAACCGGGCTGGAATTGGCCACCCAGCCCATTGCCAGACCTAGTCTCTAACTTAATCCGGAAAAAAAAGAAAGAAAAAAAAGCAAAGGATTTTGGATATGAAAAGTGCTCCACATCAATATTCCCATTTTGGGTCTTTATTCATCTTTGGGATGATTTGAAAGAAAAGATTAGGAGCTCAAAAATGCTCCATATCAACTTTGGATCATCTGTTTAATGGACAACAGGTCTAGGGTTCAAGCAATCAACTAGTGAAAGAGTTAGAAATCCTGTAGAGGCTGATCCCATTTTTGGACGAGATTAGCGATATCATGAGCAATATCAACAAATAGTTGGTGCATTGTTACAAACTTGTAAATCTTGACAAGCATCAATATAAAGTTTCAAGTCAATACTAAAAAATACATGTATTTTCTTTAAATTAATTACAAGGTCGATAAAAAATAAACTGAAGTATTTCATGTCACAAAAATCATCCTCAGTGTTACCATATGTCCCATTTGGTCCCCTGAGATCACTATAGTAAATTCCTGCTCTGGTTTTAGCTTAAAGTCTTGGAAGAAGCTGAATTGGGATCGAATCCTTTGGAATTTTTTATTTTTCTTTGAAATTGAAATCAAATTTTAAAAATATCCTGGAAATGTACTAAACGATTATGAAGTTGCAGATCTTCTCTTGTTAATCACAAGCCAACGACTTTTGAGTTTCATGAAGATACAAGGTGAAGCATTAAACAATGAACTTTGAGTGGTCCTTCAGAAGAACAATGAAATGTTTGCACCTAAATTACTACCAATAATGTTATAAATTGTGTTCCAAGTTTTGTACCTAAATTGATACCAATGATATCATAAATTGAGTTTGTTTTGTACCTAAATTATTACCAATAATATCATAAATTTGAGTTTGTACCAAGCAGTGTTTTAACAACCCGTGAGCCAACTCGGAACCACATGAGCCATCTTAAAACTGAGTCCGATTTTCAGGACCCCTGGACTAGATTGTTTCCAACAGGTTTGTTCTTTTAATTATTTTCTTGGTTTCTAAGGAACTTTCCCTTGGAGAACTGGCCGGTTCTAATCGAGCTCGTCAATCCACATTGGTTGGGCTCACGGCTGGTTCAGTAGGTCGGTCCGGGTTTTAAAGCACAGATATCAATACTTATTCCATGTATTGAGTGGGAAAACTATGATTTCAGGGAAAACATCACCTAACCTCTCTATAGAAATAATGTGTTAAAAGGTTACCGGAAAGTGGCTGGCTTTTCTGGCCAAAATTCGAGCTTTATTTTATTTCTCGGAAAGGTTTGAAGGTAGAGGCGATCACACCAGTCAAGTATTTGCTCATCAGATTCTAAGGGATCATGTGCATAACCATCAAGCCATGACTTCTTGTCACACTCAATGCTTGGTGCAACTTTCATCTTCTCTTGAAACGGCAATTCGAAAAATTCCTTCATTGCTCTTCTCATGCCATCCATCAGATCCTCCGAAATCCCATGCCCTACTGCCTGCAAGTATCTTTAAATTTAGTCTCTCTCTCACCCACACACAAACTGAAGAGATCTAAAGCACTAAATTCTCGAGTTTCATAGGTAAGTTTTACTGGCTTTTAGTTCTTTAACCATAGGATAACTGGTAATCAATTGCAATTTCTTAGCCAAGAGATACTCTTGATGTCTTCAAGGTATTGAACGCCGACGACTTGGATATTACAAGATGCAATTGAGTCTTGACGGTCAACTTGGATATTCCAAGATGCAATCGAGTCCTGACGAGTATACCGTCAGAACGCGATTGCATCTTGGAATATCCAAGTCGTCGGCGTTGAATACCTTGAAGACACAAAATAAAATTAACGCTAGTGAAGAATTATTAAATTTATTGGAGTATTTAGGGATACTTTCGAAGAGAAAGCAATTTCTCTACTAACAGCAACAAGAGGCCGAGAGAAAGAATTCAAACAATTTTCATTGTCAGAAGTGGTATTTACAGAAGCTTTGGGTAGTTGGGAGAAGTTGCAAAGTGATTTGGATAATTAGTCTTTTACGTGATTAGGACAGGAGTCATAGAGGATAAACGAAAGTGTTTGAATTAGTTGGGATAAGTTTTCAAATGCATAAGAACGGGGAATGATAAGGACTGGAGTCATGGAGGATAAGCGACAGTGTTTGAATTAGTTGGGATAAGTTTTTGGAATGCATAAGAATGGAATGGGGAATGATAACAGTAGTTGTATAGTAATATAATGAAATGATATTCAAAACAAGTATTGGTAATGAATCTTAATATGGATAAGAATTTGTGGGATAGCTTCCTCTATATTATGGATATTGTAGTCAAGTTGGAATTGAGAAAGGATAGGATAAAGTTATTATTTTGAGTAATTTCTCTTTCTTCAGGAATGGGCTCAAGGCTAGGTGGTAAGGGTAGTGGATTTACATGAATAGCCCATTACTAAAATAAAATAAAAATTCTTTCTTTTCAATATTTTTTTAATTAATTATTTTAAGGTTTGGGTTGCATATTTCTAACCATGACGGTGGAGTGCCAAACTTGACAAACAATGGCTAAAATAGAAATCATACTGTCACTTTAAGAAATGGACTTAACCGACCGCTTGAAAAAGCTTAGGAACTATATGACATAGAAATGAATGTGTGTCTATTTGTGATATGGATACGGGTGTTAGAAATGTAAACCTAAAAAAAATGACATTTGGACAAGATATGTCACTAAACTATTTGAGTGTCTACGTACATGCACATGTATATACATATGTTAGAATTTATTTGTAGTTCACATATGCATTTACCAATTTTACAATTTATATATCATAACATTAATAAAACATCGCAAAAAAATATAAATTAAATTAATAATACAAATGTTACTTTGTGAATCAGAAAGTTTCTTATACTCCACTTAAAAGGTTGTGTCATATCTACATGAAAAAGAAGAAGAAGCTAAAAGCTGTTAATTAATTATTAATTCAAAAAGTAACAACCTTTATTGCGTGACTATTGAATAGGGTCCTAATTTATTCATCTAAAATCATATTACCTTCAATTGAAAATAAAAATAATTTTATTTTTATTCTAAACTACTTTTATTATTCTAAAATAATTTTTATTTTGAAAATAATATATTATTCATTTAAAAAAGAAGCTAAAAGCTATTAATTAATTATTAATTCAAAATGTAACAACCTTTATTGCGTGACTATTGAATAGGGTCCTAATATATTCATCTAAAATTATATGATCCTCAATTGAAAATAAAAATAAATTTATTTTTAAAGTGCTTTTATTATTCTAAAATAGTTTTTATTTTCAAAATAAAATGTTATTCATTTAAGAACGACATTTCTAAACAAAGAAATGCCAAATTCAAGAGAACGGAACAAGTCTGACACGATATTAGACATTCCATAGAAGTGCTCTATGTATTTCTAGAAATATCTGATATGTGGCTGTATCCACCAAGTGTTGACACATGATCCGAACCCCTCGAAAGAGCTCCCATGTCTCTCCCTTGAACCCCCCAAAGTGCCAATGAACAACTTCCGTATACAGAGCCTTACGAACTTCTTTGAGTATCATTTTTCTTCAAAGAGAGAGAGAGAGAGTAGTTTTTAAAATTTATTTATTTATCATATTCAGGATCTCCATGTTCGAGATTGCATGTTTTTAAAAATTAAGTCTTAAAATCCATCTCAAAAATAAATTTACCAAGAGGCCAGCATTTGGACCTATGCAAGGCTCGGCCGCATAGAAACCGGGTCCAAAAAGAAAAAGGAGTAGTTGTAGAGCTACTGACCTGAAAGAAGCCCCAATTTTGTAGGGCATCTTTGAGCTTTTCCTTCTCTTGATTTCTTGCTTCTTCCCAATACATGGGTGGCATTGGTGAGGATGCGAGGAGGAGATCCATGTCAATTGTGGGAACATTTTGTGCTTGACAGAAGGTGGAAGGCTTGTCTTCCTTACAATGATAGCGTTGGGGGATCTCTTCACCCCTTGCAGCCACTTCTTGAACCATGGGAACTCTCATGCTCTCTCCCATATTTTTCCTGAACCAAGAAGATCAGAAGTGAGGGTTTACAAACCATTGCCACTTCTCTCACTATATATGCATATGCATGTGGATTTTGTTTATGTGATGTTTGCATGTATGACATCTTACTTGTCATATATGAATTGTATGTGGACATGAATGCATGAGTTTGTTTTACATGCATTCTATGTGGTTATGAATGTATGTGTTTGTTTTATATGTACATATATGGATAGGAAAAAATTTACATAAACTTGCAACCTTATAATGTTGAAGTAGGGTCGATCTAAAAAATCCTATAGAGGAGAGTGTTCCGGCATTGGATAACTCTCCAAGTGATCATCTTGACATTGAGATGAATGGACACGAAGAAAAAAAAGAATTTCAAGTCAAAAAAATAGTGCATTTTATAACAAATTATTTGGGCTGTCTATTTTCAAGACTTTCAAGTGTTTCTTGATCAGCTCGATCCGTTCAATTTTTGAAAATTTAAAATTTTATAATTGAGGATGAAAAGAGATTTTTGAGCCATCATAAGGTCTTCGACACCGAAATGACATCTGTAAGAAAATTTTATAACCATGCCTTATTCGTACAGTATAAGGAGGCAACCTTATACAAACCTCACCCATATGGATATGCATGTATATGTGAATGACATTCGTTAACAAAAAATCTACACGTTATACAAAACGAAAATAATTTGATAGGGCTGGAGCCTTATCACAATAAGTAAAGCCTCACCTCATAATTCATAAATATTACAATTCAAGGATTGAAAAACCTTTACATCGATCATCTCGATTTGAACATATTAGTTGTTAAAAAAAAATTAGGATTTTAAGCTTTAAAAATCCTGTATGTTGTAACAAATTATCTATACCATCCATTTCACCCTAAATTAAGTGTTCATAGATCTGCAAGATTTGTACCATATTTTGTGTTTCAAATTTTATTATTAGTGTTGGAAATTGATTTTAGATCCATCATGAAGATTTCTGTTGCCGAAAATGCTTTCTAGATGACGATTTCAGGTGGGCTTTATTTTGTTTTCATAAGGCATAGGCCGAATAGAACTTTCATCCTACACAAAATCATCGGTGTTGTCAAACTCGCTTTAATTAAGCCAAATAGGGCGAAGCTTTTGGATTTTAGTCCTAGACCGAAGTGAAGCGAAGCTTGGTGTTGTTGTTTTGGTCAAATTTAGGTCGATTCGACCTAAGCTTTAGCCTCTTTAGCCAAAGTAAAGAAATATCTATATAAAAGTATTTTTTATTTTTTTGAAATTTTTATTTTTTATTATTTTTTATATATAAATATTTAACTTATTCATATTAAGTTCTATAAAAAAGTCCGTAGTCTTCCTCTAAATCGAGTGAAACACTGAAAAAAATTCAAAAAACGAATATGATAACATTGAAAATCACCATATGAATTGTGAATTCCGGCTGCTAAGGCTATGTTATTGATTGAGGACCTAAGTTTTTTTTTTTTCTTTTCGTTAGATTGTAAATTGTCAGATATCACTCCGACATATGAATGGCTTTCTCGTACCCTCATAAAGTGAGTAGTCTTAATCATTCACCAATTTTCTTCCACTCTATTTGGTTGTATTTGTTTTTGTCAAAACTTGAACGTCATCGTCATGGGGGCCATGTGATATTTAATGTTTAACAAAAAATAACTATCATGTTGCATCACTGAAGGGTGGTATTTTGGTTCATTTGTAAAAGGAAAAAATTTATATATAGAGCGGAAGCTCTAAACAATCAAATTAAAGCCCACATTAAAAATTTCACTAGAAAAAGTTGTTTTCATGCTAAATTTTTTTCAAATTGATCATCTCGACATCAAGATACATGAACATAAAAAAAAAAAGGATTTTAAAAATTGAAAATAGTACATCTTGTAATGCATTTTTAGACCATCAATTTTCAAGATTTTCACGTTTTCATAGATTTGCTTGATCTACACTATTTTTAAAGTTTTAAATTTTATAATTAAATATAAAAATATATTTTAAGACTACCACGGAGATTTCCAGTATTAAATCATATTCCTTGATACTATTTGAATATACACTTTATTTTGATTGTTTGGAGCCTCGGCTCTATGCAAACTGCACCCTTTGTAAAATGGACGTTCTTGATCTCATTGTGAGTTGTGTCGAGGAATCTAGATCGTTTGCATAAAGCAAGCCAACTTGTCCAAGTCATGGGGGTAATGGTGACGCATAATGCTTATCCTCCTTCAAATGTATCCAAACCCTGTAATGAAGATGCTATTCTAGTGCCTGAGACTCTTACCATAACTTGAAAATATATTTCTAGCAGTAATTATAGGTGCTAGAGTGACACATCAAGCAAATTTATAAATATTTGGAAATCTTTAAAATAGATAGCAAAAAAAATATATCATGTATTTTTTTTAAGATTTGGTTTTTTTATTATTTAATATCCATACACTCCGAGTCGAAATGATTGATTGAAGGTTTTTCAGGATGAAAATAACATTTTTCTATGAATTTTTGAGGTGCTCTTCACTTCTATTCTATAAGATTGACACTTTAGTATAAGTTTGTATAAGGTGTCCACTTTCTACTATACAAGTAAGGTGCACCTATAAACTTCATCAGAAGCTGCAGTTATGGTATTAGAAACCTTATGATAACTTAAAAATCATGTTCAAATCTAATTATGAAATTTAAAAGTTAAAAAACGGTGTAGGTGGAATAGATTTATAAACACGTGAAAATCTTGAAAATAGACAGTCCAGATAATTTTTTATAAGATATATTATTTTTAGGACAAATTTTTTTCCTCTATTTATATCTATAGATCTCAATATTGAGATGATCAATTAGAAAATTTTCCAACTTTGGAATACTCTTTTGTATTGGATTTTTGAGGTTCACCTTACTTCTATAGTATAAGGTTGTAACTTTATATAAACTTGGACATGTAAACAATAAGACTGCTTACTAGAGAGGTCACAATTATTTTTGTCTCTTAGATTTGAAATTAGAACGAAAAGAACCCGGGCTTAATTGGTTAGCGCTTGGCGATTTGCAACACTATGTCCTAGGCTCAATTCCTACCATGGGTAGGGGCCCTCTCCCCACTGACTAGCCAAAAAAAAGAGAGGCAAAGATGTTTTATTTATTAAGGTTAAACTCCAAAAAATAAAAAAAATCTCAAACTTTGTACTCTAAGCTGTTTGATTTGACATTTGATGGCTAAAATTAATTGTGACTTCCTTAAAATAAAAAGGCAAAGATTGTTTTATTTATTAAGCTTAAACTCCTAAAAATAAAAAAATCTTAAACTTTGTACTCTAACTTGTTTGATTTGACATTTGATGGCTAAGATTAATTGTGACCTTCTTGTTCTACATATGCATGGTCCATAGTACACAGTCCTTATAAACTTTGGGATTATCCATGAAGAGACCATTTATCTTTTATACAAGGCGGTCATAATTATTCTTGTCCCTTACTTTTAAAATAGGTGGTTGTAAGAGTGTCATTGAACATACACAAATTTCCCAAAAAAATTCTCTTGTGACTCACCCTAAGCCATCCACTTTAACATCTAATGAGTGGGAATAATTGTAACTTCCTTGTAATAAAGATAAGTGATTGTCTACAAAGAGACCATTTTGTTCTTCTCTATAAGCAATGATTTCATGCAACGGTTGCATCATAATATCATGCAACGGTTGCATCATAATATAATGCAACAACCTTCAAAAACCATGTTATGGTCATTTGTTTGATCCAAATTTTGAAATATACACTCTTTTCATTCTAATGAACAGTCACAAAATAATAATAATAATTGAAAACACAACCTAGAAAGTATTTTTTAGCCCAATTAACGTAGGCCGTTCATTTTTGTGAGATGTTTAGATCTAGGTCTTAAAAGGATTTTTTTCATTTCCAATATTTTTGGATGACTTTATTATCATTAGATGAACAATGTTAAAAAATAAAAAATTGGTTTTAAGTTTATAAAAGCTGAGATCTTGAAATTCACCAAATGCATGGTTTAGATTCGTTTTTGGAAGGGACTCAATTTGACTATTTCTAGGATTCAAATTGAACTTTTTTTTGTTTTTTGGGATTGATAATTGAGATGAAGAGAGTGTGCGTGCCAACTTTTGGGTTATACAAATAACACAGACATGGTTTTTTAGAAGTGTCGTTGCATTATAATATGATGCAACCGTTGCATGAAATCATTACTCTTTATCTATTGGTCATGGAGGTAATAATCATTCTTATCCCTTAAATTTCAAAATTCGTGGTTGTAAGAGTGTCATTGAAAGACACAAAGTTCCAAAAAAATAAATCTCATACTTTGTGACTCACCCTTAGCCATCCAATTTGACATCTAATGAGTGAGAATGATTGTGACCTCCATGTGGAAAACATAAATGGTCTCTTTGTAGACAATCCCTAAAGATAAGTGTGCCTCCAAACTCTATTTGAAAGTTCTGGTGTTGGAAATCCTTATGATTATTTGAAAATTCATCTCCACTCTAATTATCTTAAAACTAAAAAAATAGTGCAGATCGATCAGATCAATAAGTAGTTAAAATGTTTGAAAATGGATAAACTAGATAATATGTTACACGATGTATTATTTTTAGGAGTTGAAATCATTTTTTTCCATGTTTATGCATCTCAAGGTTGAGATGATCAATTGTAGAGTTCTTGAGCATCACTATAACCTTCTTTGATAGATTTTTGATAGATTTTTCAAGTGTGTCTTACTTTCAGAATATAAAGTTGATGCTTTGTAAAAGTTTTCTTAAAAAAAATAGTGCTCATCTAGCGATTTGCAAAATACATCAAAAAGCAATGTTTAAACTAATATATATTTTTTATTTAAATTTATTTTTCTTTCAAATATAAGATTGTGGTGTTTAAAATTATCAACATGAAACTTTAGATCCAGAATCCATTTCTAAGGATAATTTAGGAAGGAGAAGACATTGGAATAAATGTGTGACGCACCGAACCCTGTGCTTTTCCCTTTTGGAAAATTGTTTTCATGCGGGGC